ACTACTACTACTACTACTACTACTACTACTACTACTATTATTAGTCAACAGAAACCAATGAGCACAAAGCAACATCAGGGGGTGGGATAAATTGAAGCTCATTATGAGCTTATTTAGGCAGCTGTTCAGTCTATTTATCCAACTCAGGCTGGCAGTACCTCTCCTCAGATGAAGCCACAAGCCTTGCAAAATGTGTACTGATTGTTTTAACTGAAGATGAACCTGGGGCTTTCTGTATACTATCAGCCCTTCCCTCAAGTATAATGGTATTTTTAGAAGTGTAAAATTATTTCCAGGAGACACTGCTCTTCTGCCTGTGAGCCACCCACCATTTTGATAATCCTCAAGTGGACTCACATGATGCTGATCCAGAGCACTGTAGGAATATAAAAATGGCGGCTTCCCACCCACCCACCCACCCTTTCTGCTCTGCAAGTCTGAGCCAGTGGACATGGCAGGAAGTCCCAGTCCAGGGAAGGTGTCAGTGCTGTGGTCTCTCCCAGAGCACAAGAGCCCCAGCCAGTGCCTGAGGAGGCTGGCTGTTGGCATTGACCTTGCACATGTCATACTGCACCATAACACTTGATCATCTTGCCTGGGATGACAAGGCACAACACTCTTCAAATTCTCACACTAAGTTCTTGGGCTGTAAATTAGACGGACCTCCCCAAATCCCCTCAACTTATAAAAACATTCTGTTAAAATATTTACGTTAAAAACCAGATACACTCTTCAGGCTTTAGCATTCAGTGTGTGGGAAAATACGTTCATTAACACTATTCATCGATTTAATTGAGCGCATTCATAAAGGCTTTGACAAGCAAGCATTTTGCTTGCTAATTGTAGGGTTGGTTATGATTATAAATGGGCTTAATGTGCAATCTTTCAATAAAGAACTTAGGGACGGGGAAGCAGAAGAACCATAGTCTCTCACAAACTGCTTGGCAAATATGGAATTCATCTCTTTCATGGGTAGGCAGGCTGCTCAGAAACTTAAAACAAAATTCTGCATAAGAAATCTATTTAAAGGATTGGTCTGAAAGTAGATAGCTTGGGATAAAACACTGAAAGTATCAAACGGTCTTATCAATGTGAACCAGAGATGTATACTACAATAGCTACTTTTGGGCTTAATAAAAATCTTCCCAAAGTTGCAATCTTATGGTCCCTGGTCTTTTATTTCCATAAGATTATATACTGCATGATTTGTAAAAATTCTCAAGGTGGTTTACTAAAGAACAAAACAAGAACATTCATGGTAAAAACAGTGTGAAACTATTAAAAACCTTTTAGAAAATAAAACTAGTGATAAACAAAAACAGATCAAAACACGTCAACATTCTAGATAGCTGGATAGGCGTGCTAAGCAAAAATGATTTTAGCAGGTGCCAGACAGAGTACAGTGAAGGTGCCTGCTTGAAATCAAAAGGCAGGGAGTTCCAAAGTGTAAGGTGCTGCTGGACTAAAATATTGCTTTCTTTCTCCACAAATTGAAGCAGTTGGATATGCATATATGGAGTAAGTGTCCTAGGGGACATAGGACTGACTGAAACTCCCTCCTCAGAACTCCGACACTGGGGAGGAAAGATCCAACATCAGATCATGGGAAGGATAATAAATAATAATAATAATAATAATTCTTATTGAATTAATAAGAAACAGATAGAGGAGTCAAAGTTTGTCCCCCTGTTCTCCCTCCTACCCTGCTGACTTAAGGCAGTAGACCTGCCATTGGACTACCCACTTCTCCTCATCTTAAGACTGGAGCCTAAATCAGAAGATCCCAAAGCCTTGGCAGGCTCATCTATAGAGATATAGCCCTTCAGATGGCATGGACCCAAACTGTATGGGGATTCGTAGGTCATAATCAGAACTTTGAGCTGTACCTGGAAATGGAGCATTTTCCAATGGAACTGTTGCAACAAGGAAGGTCAGCAATCTGGCAGCAGCATCTTGGATCAACTGAAGTTTCCATACTCTTTTCAAAGGCAGTCCTACATACAATGTGTTACAGTAATCCAGGCATGTCCAAAGTTTTTCTCTGTCCCTGTGGCAGTTTATTTACTGGGGTAAAATCGTAAAAAAAAGTTCAACACCTTTGGTGGGCCCTTATGCCTTTTCACTTCATCAAATCTGGCCCTCTTTGAAAAAAGTTTGGGCACCCCGCTAATCTAAATGGGATGTAATGTGGTTTGAGTTTTCAGGTGGCCCTTCTCTTGGTCCTGCCGCCATCCTCACAGGCTGGTGACATGGGAGAAAGCCTTCTTGGTGGCTACTCCCAGACTTTGACTCTCAATCCCAAGAGAAGCTACATAGACTCCCTCCTTGTTATTCTTCCCGTGGCAGATGAAGATCTTCTTGCTCCAACAGACTTTTGGGAACTGACTGATTTCAATGAAAGGACTGGTGCTGTGCTGCTTTTGTTGTTATTACTGATATGTTTAAACAAATTTTATATATGTGCCTAGTTTTATTTATATCAATGCTTAATTGTATTTTGGGGTTCATTTTCCTAAGTTTTTGGCAGTTCTTGTTTTTATTTGCAAGCCACCTTGAGTCCCATCAGGGGGAAAAGTGGGGCATAAATAAATATACAACAACAACATAACTAATCGAACCACATTTGGAGGGTCATGGGTTTCCCACCCATACCTTATATCAAAAGTTGCATGGGAGCCAACACAGAGGCAATGACAACAGAAGGGACTGAAGAGAGATTTCATATTGTAGCAGCGCCTAAATGTATGAGAGAAAATGGCAAAAAATATTGGAGGGAGGCCCTGGGCTTTTCTGTTCATTTATTTTGAAGTAAAAAACAGGTGAGAAGAGAGCTGCTGGCTATTTTAAAGTTCTTTTTCTCACTCTGTGAACACAAATTCAAGGCAGCAATGAGTCAATGGGTTGTTACCTCAAAACAGGCAACCCCATAAACAGATCAGAAATGTCTGTATCATCATTGTAATAATGGCTGTCACATAGTTAGCTCTGACAGATTATAATTTCATGGAAATATTGCAACAGCAACACTCTCATCAATCTCACATACTTGTCTTCCACTCTTGAGGCCACTTACCCTCTGCTAATGCAACTAAATTCACTGAATCTAATCCAGGGTAGGATTGTGGTCTTAATATGTCCTCAACAAAGGATAATTCATCAACATTACCGAATATGGTCACAGTCACACACAACAACTTACAATTTATTAAATGAACCCAGCTGGTAAATGCTTGGTAGACAAGAAGCCAGGATGAGGTCCTTTTATTAGCTATAGCTCAGGAGGAACAATTTGGCTCTTCCATCTGAGAATTACCTCAGGCACTCACTAAAGGAAATTCTATAGCAAAGCCACATAATGCAGTCGACATCTAACTCCAAGTTTATATGAGCACAGGTCACAACACCAGTCACCAGAGGGGCTCATAAAGCTTCTTTCCTAGCATAACAAACCATCAATATTTGCCCAGCCATGAATGCCTCAGCTGAAGTCACATTCCCTCTGGCTTTAGGTAACCCCATGCCAGCCTCTTTAGATTTTTCTGAAAAGAGAGTGGCAATAGATACTGGGGTCAGATTTCAGAGGCAATTTTACTTCGCTGATATATAACGTAATAAAAAGACTTCCATTCAGCATTTTTGACTAAAAGATAAATCTCCCCTCAGCTTCCCCCTCTCGCCCAGAATCATAGAATTGTAGACCCGATCCTTCTTATATTTATAGAATTCTGGAGCCCCCTTCTACATAATTAGAGAACTGAAACAATAAAGAACTGGAGTAATGAGAAGTTTAAAATACTAAAGCCTAACAATGAAAGACGTTTTATACTGTTATGCACAAACACCCCACTTTCAAGCAGTGAGAAGTTTCAGGGGATGCTCTAAAACCTGGACTTTTTCAGTAGAAAATTTATACAGGAAACCTGAAATCCATATCTAGTCATATATGTCTGTCTCTCTCTCTCTCTCTCTCTCTCTCTCACACACACACACACACACACACACTTATATATATATATATATATATATATATATATATATATATATGAGACTAGATACAGATTTCAGGTTTCCTATAACAAAGTTTTGGCCATCAAAGAGAAAAATTTGGATGAATACTTGGAGCTAAGGAGAAAAACTATTAAGGGATCGTAAAAGAGGTGGAAGAAGCCAAGCCTTATTCAGATTTATGAGCTGGTGGAAGTTATTCAGACATATAGAAGAAACTTTGATTATCTAGTCAAGATCAAAGTATTTGCCTTAGCAAAAGTGCAGGGATGTCTTTAACCACCACGATTCCCAAGTTATTAATCTGCCTTGTTCACCAAGCTTTTGGGACCTAGGTACTAAGACAATTGCACACACAAAAGCCATCTTTAGAGTATGGAGAATTTTATCTACAAATGGAAAGGTCCTGAAAGAAGCACAAGATGCTTCTGAGTGGCAAACTGCTTTATAGAACAGTGCCACACACATTCCTACTGGGTACCCTCAATTGTGTGAACCTGCCACTCACGTATCACTTGAAAAATGCCTCCTAGATAAGAGAGAGATCTTTTTCTGGAGGAAATAAACCAGGTGCTGCCCTGAATGTACTTGAAGAAAGTGTGTAAAGCTCACAAATTTAGATCCAGACCAGACTAAAGCAACACTTTTACTACAAGAAAAGGGAATGGTGCAAGGCAGCATCAATTATTGGCATCCTGACCCATTCATAACTCTAAACTAAAGAGATAAGAGGTCCCTACTGCTATAGGGAATAACAAGTAGTAGAAATTACATATTCTAGGTGTGGACAGGAATACAGCTCTGATGTGCAGGACCTTTAAGTGAAAACCAGGAAGGAATCTCTTTGCCTCAAGGTTTGCACCTTCCCAAAGTCCTGCTCTCCTGCAGTGCATTGTGTGAGAGCATTCAGACATTTTGGAGCTCAGATTTCTGTCTTTGTACCTCACTCATGTTCTTAAATACACTTTTCTCCTCACAAAATGGAGATCTGAGAAGCAGAGGTTTTCAGGTGATATAACAAGCAGCTGTCTGTTTACTGCTGACATTTTGGTGAAAATATGGGTTCTGTTTTCTTAAACAATGGGATGTTCTGCCAAGCCTACGGGAAAATTGCCAAGGAGGCAAGATAAGAATCTTGCATTGTATTCAATAGGCCCCGTGGCATCACTCAGGCACTCCAACAGCCAAGAGTCTCATGCTCGAACAACTGAGCTGTTCCAGGTGCTAATTCTCCAAAATTCTGGAAGGTGGGTGAGCGGGGTGGGGCGTAGAAATACTAGTTGCATGTTGTAACTACAGTGTAGCTTATTTCATTTTATTCCATTAAATTTATATAGGAAACCCAGTCAGATGGACGGGGTATAAATAATAAAATTGTTGTTGTTGTCAGGACTGGTCGTTGTCCTCTTCAGATCACCACACAAACGCTTCTTGTTCTTTTATAACTTTTTATTGTGTATTAACAAAATAATCTTATAAACAGTTCTTAACTATTATTCCTCAGAGTCACTTATTTCAGATACCTTCTGAGCTCTGCTTCTCCGTGACCAGCCACCCTCAAAATGGCGAAGGCGCCCTTCCCTTCGTTTCCCCCCTCTTTTTTCTAACCTCCTGGCTAGAGCTGGCCTGTATCTCCCCTCCTCCGAATCTAAGCTAGAACTTAACCCTTGCCTTTCCTGTGAACAGCCGGTCCCTCCCTGTTGCTCCTCTTGCTCCCTTCTATTAGATTCACTGCTCTCCCTCCCCCCTTGGGGAATGCTTTCTCCCTCTGAGAAACTGGAAACTTCTAACTCTTCCCTGACAGTTATTAACCATTTGATTGTTGAAAAAAGCTCAAAGCGATTTACAAAAAAGATAAAACAATAACATTATCACTAAAAAATTAACAATAAAATATTTCAGACTATGTTCTATGAAGGAGATTGCAGACTGAATCTAAGGTACTGCTGATATTTGAGATTTCAGGTACACACCTAGGGTTCTGGAATAAAGAAGCAATAAGTGGACTCAGTTCTTGAAAACATTCATTATCTGTGTTACCTAGATCTGTCCCATGCCTTATGTGAAACACGCAGATTCCTGGTTAGGGAGACATAGCCGTTTTTATATTATATTATTATTTTGGATGGTGCGCTAGCTGAAAGAATCTATTGAAGCCAAATTGTGTTGTCTTATCTGTTATGTAGAATTATCCATCTTCGGATGGTAGTAAATTATCTTTCTGTGTTACTGAACCAGGGATGGATGAATCTCTGAAGTAGAGATGGACAGATCAGTCAAAATGGGTTTCACTCGGTTTCTTGCTTTTCCAATCTTAAATTCAATTCAACACACTTCCAAATCAGTTTCTTTCCCCACCCCAGCCCTCACAAAAATTCATCAGCAGTTGTGTATGCATTTTTGCCTAATATTTTGCAAGGAAGTGGTGCAGCAATAAAAAAGCAACTGCTGGCACATTTGCAAAACAAAGCAAGGTCTGGTATAGTTTTAAATCGGATGGGGGACCATGTGTTGAGATTCCTGTATTGCACTAGATGACCCTTGGGTTCCCTTACAACTCTATGATTCTGTGAATCGATTATATTTCCTGGTATAATTCATTTTTAGATATCATTTTAATATATGCATATTTATCCCTAACATACATGTTTTTGGACACATTTCTCTGACCAAAGCTGTGTTCAAATAGCATATATTAATATAAGGGATAACAATGCATATGAAAATATAAAGTAGCTGTCCGTCAGAAAGGAGAGCACAACACAGCCTAGTACAGTTTGCACGGCCCCAGATTTATTACAGGGAGGATGATTGTTTTGGAACAGAGTTCACTGTTACTGTTTCCTACTCACTTACAGGGAATTGGCAGGAATCCAGGCTGAAGTACCGGTGTTCATGTATTGGAACAGCCAGATCCATGCAACTGGCAAAGCTCCCTGAAACTGATTCACCAACAGCTGCATGTCATCTCCGACATGCCAATATTTTAAAACTTGACTCTTGTTTCCCTATTGACAACTTCAGGATGTATGTAGAAGAAATGCAAAGCATCTCTGAAATTGTCTCTTCGATTTGCAGTTTGCAGTTACTTATGCTATCCACCAAGTACTTCCAGTACATAAAAGAGCACTAAAACCCTCCCTTCTGGTCACAGAGATGTTCCTCCATTAGCACTGCAACCCCTTGTGCCCAACAAATGTGCGGGTCAGGAAGCCCTGAAATGGAGCGTTGGAAGCATGGAGCCAGCCTGGGATTCACTGGTTCCTGCCCTAGCCTCACTGCCATCACACAACAGCAAGGAGTCCAAACTGGGCCCAGTGGTCCTGCCTCCCACCATCTGCCATGGCTACTCTTGAGCGACAGGGTTGCAGTTACTGTTGTAGCCCCACAACTCCACAAAGCCCTGATTATGGTGGTGGGGAAGTTGGGGGTTGTCCCTTACCACACAGAGATCTTGAGCTTCCAAAATTATTTCAATATTTCTTAAATTTATCTATCACCCCACATCAGAGGAACAAGAGGATTATGGGCTGATTAGCATATAGATGTGCAGCATTTCATAATTTGATCATCTGAAGTCTTGAAGCCTCTGTTGCATGCCTCCATTCCATATTCTGTTTAAGGCAATCCGGGAGCTCTTTCTATTGCTGTTTGACCCCTGATAGCTGCTTAATACAGTTGTCATCACTTGATATTTCATACACTTCCAGGTTGTTGAGGAGCATTTAAGCCAAATACCGGAGGACCAGCAATTAGTACACAGCTCGATTCTAGAAAATTTCATTAACACTGAATTAATTTTATGCTGTAAAGCATAATTTTGTTCTGAAACTATGGACCACCATAATTAAATTTGCACTGCTTCTTTTGAATCTGCAGCAATAAATTTCACTTTCATGAGCCTAGCTCTGCTTAAAATTGTGCACATTTATCCCCTCGTTCAGTTCTGCTGTGCCCCTAGTCAGAAGAATTCTTACAAGCTGTTTGCCATAGTGTGACCTCAAGAAAAATATACATGTATGAGAATGATTACGTGATTATGCATCTATTTAAGAATGCAAAATTCATGGCTCCACGTGGCCATGCCTGAATGTTTGTGCAGAGGGAGCTAAGATGTCTTTCTTGTTTTCAACATGGTGCCAATGAGAACGTATGAAAGGATATGAAAGAGCACTCCTATAACAACTTCAACACAAAATAAATTAGTTTTTTGGGGGGAGAAGAGCATCCACAGAAAGTCTCACAAGCAACTTTAAAAAGTTAGCAGCTGACTATTTTGAGCATGGTGATTGATAGGCAAAGCTCTGGCCTCTTATTCAGCTCTTAAAGGAACAGAGGCTCTTTCAGGAAAACGTTAGCAGCCGGAGAAATCACCCTACATTTAAAAAATAAATTAAAATAAAATATGTACATCAGGTGGGAAAAGTCCAGATCCAGGTCACTCTGAACTGAGACATTTACAACATCATGAGATTTAAATTAGCCTATAAAAATTTAAGTTCTAAATTGCTGCACCCAAAATATCATCTGCATTAATCCTTTGGTTTTCATTATGATTATCTCCTCCTACTTGAAAGTAAAGCCAGGTGTGGCTAACAAAGGATTTGCCAGCCAGCTATCCTGGTCTTAGGGGGGGCATGTTCAACGATAAAAGTGGAATTCATTTAATCAGTTAATCAGGATTCTAACATTCAAATGCCCTATCTGAAGCTTTTTCAAACTGACATTGTGTTGAATGATAGACTTAATGCCACTTGACAGTTTGCCAGAAGCCATTAATTTAATCTCTCAGTTTTGTTTCAGGGCCTGTTAATTTGGCTGTGCCCTTAGAAGGAAGGGGAAGCGTCCTCCTCTGCCCATCCACCCCCAAGTAGAAAAAGGTCACTTGTAACTTTCTCCCTGTTCCACCCCACCCATTTCCCCAGCTTACATGGATTCTTTAAAAACAAGTAGAAATGAAATTAGACCTATGTTTATACAGTCTTTTGCCTGGTCCAGGATTTATTTTTGAAAGTTGGTAAACCCTCCTTCCAATTTAAATTGAATAAGTAGGTGCAGCTGAATAAATGCAGAGGGGGCTGGCCGGCACTCGTATGTTTTCACTTTAAAATTACACAAAGGAGGACATGGAGGAAGCAGAACAGAGATACTGGGAAAGAGGCAGCCATTTATAAAGGCACAAAACTCGCTTTCGGCTCCAATGTTGCCCATCGCGTGGCCAGTGAGGGATGCCCCCTTTCAGCGTCTCCAGAGTGTGAACTTCTATGTCCCAGAGAAATACTTTAAACATTACTACTTTAATGCAGTTTATGAATTTGCAAATGCAAAAGCAGACCATTAGCAAAAATGGGTGTGGGCAGAGAGTGAACACTGTGCAGCCACATAATTTTGTTTAATGAAGGGCTCTTGTGACGATTCAGTTTCTGTTTCAAAAAATACCTCCAGCACCACGTGCACAAAGCATCTGCAACTCTTCAAGCAAGGGAATTCTGTTTAATTATGCTGGATCCCTGTTGCAAGCACGTAGATAGCCAACCACAAATTCCTTTGTGTGCATGAGGTAATTAAGTTAGTGTATAAAACAAAATTACTAAAACAAAAATCCAAAAGGCATACACAGAAAAACAAAGCCTAAATATTATACACAGTATCAGCTTAAGATTTTGATATTTTGAAGTAAAGGGGAAAGAGAATAAAAGCCAATGTAGAAGAGAATATCTTAATTTTGCTGTATTTTTTCTCTCCCAGCTGCTGGGAGATTAGCAACAATGATCCATTACAGTCATACCTCGGGTTAAATGTGCTTCAGGTTGAGCGTTTTCAGGTTACATTCCGCGGCAACCCAGAAGTAACGGAGTACATTAATTCCAGGTTTCGCCGCTCGTGCATGCGCAGACGCTCAAAATGACGTCATGCACATGCGTGGAAGTGGCAAATTGCGACCTGCGCATGGGCAGACGCACAGACATGGGTTGCGTTCGCTTCAGGATGCAAACGGGGCTTCGGAACGGATCCCCTTTGCATCCAGAGGTACCACTGTATTTGTTTGTTACTGCAGAATAAGAAGAAATAATGTAAGTTAAGGCTTACTTTACAATGCATACCCTGACTCTAAACAAATTACAGAAGGCACCACAAGCAAACTTCTGCGCACACAACAGGAATTCCACTTCCCAACTTTACTTCAGAGGTTCCTCCAATCCACTGGAGCAGATTTCAGGTGTGGTAGGTGTTAGCAGACCTTGCACCTTGGATGAATTTGATTAAGGTAATCACTTACAGTTTCTGGAGTTCAAAGGCTTTTTTCATGCAGTAACTATTTATAGATGAGTAGAGATGAGAGAAAGTTGCATAAATATTGTCTGTAGAGAAGAACAAAATTGTTCTGCTTTTAGGGGCGGAGTTAACATAGACAAAGAGGCTTACAAGCATGTGCTGGCTAGATTGCTACACAAACAGTGCCCTCGTGTGGTTTAAAGTACCACATTAACAACAAACTCAAAAGAAGGACATGCATTTGCTTTTATCCAAAAATAGAGAGCTATAGAGGGAGCAGAAACTGATGCCCTGAAAAATGTCTGTTGCACTGTACAGCAGACACTGTTGGATTCATCCACACTAATGAATTCCACTAAGATTAATAAGATATTTGATGGCCACTTACTAAGTCAATTTACCCAGGGGCAACTTACCATACAGCACATACAAACCATACAGGACACACAAATGCTAGTCATTATCAACATAAGAGAATTGTACAATGCCCTGACTTCCCAACCAGCAGGAAGGGGGCTGCTGAATTCTCCTCAGGGTATTAAACGACAACAACAACAACAACAACAACAACAGAAGTAGACAATGAAATATCCGTTGTCAACATGCTAATTAACTTCAGCTCAGTATTCCCACTTCATCTGACCAAGGTACTGCAATTTTTATTTAATTTTTATTATTTCAGATATTTACATCCCACTTGTCATACAAATATATCCCAGAAGCTTTACAGTAAGAAATTACAATAAAATACAATTACATAACTGAAATGCTACAGGGTTGATGTTTTAGTGCCTAGTGTCTAATGAGAAGCAATCTTTTCATCTAACATTAGCTGACAACTTACATTTTTCTCTGTTTTAGGAGAAGCTGATCACTATACAGAGGACAAAATGAGGAAATACTTTTGTTGCATATGTAAATTTTTATATATAGGTGGAAATTTAGAAATAACTGCTATATTTTAAATAGAAATAAGATTTACTCCACCATAATAGGGAAGGCTGTGATTATAAGAAAAACACTAGGCCCTAATTTGAATAGTAGAGTGCTTGGTATCTGGTGGGTGTAGCTTGTGTCTGCTCTGGAATCAGCCCCTCCCTTCAGTGTGTGTTCCTTTAAGTTTCCGTTAAGAGGAACCAACTGTATCTCCTTGTTACTTGCCTCATGTTGTATTTAGTTTCTCTCATTATGTTGTTTTGTTTCATTTAGTCATGTCCAACTCTTCGTGACCCCATGGACCAGAGCACGCCAGGCACTCCTGTCTTCCACTGCCTCCCGCAGTTTGGTCAAACTCATGTTCGTGGCTTCAAGAACACTGTCCAACCATCTTGTCCTCTGTCGTCCCCTTCTCCTTGTGTCCTCAATTTTTCCCAATATCAGGGTCTTTTCCAGGGAGTCTTCTCTTCTCATGAGGTGGCCAAAGTATTGAATTCCTCAGTGCCACAAAGCAGCTTATGCTAACCTTGCCTCACTTACCTGAGCAGTGAGAAGTTCCAGGGCCGAGGCAGCTAATGTGGTGCCGCCAAGATGTTGTGGACAACATCTCTCCTCATCCCTAACCATTGGCCACACCAATGGGCATTATAGTCCAAAACATCTGGAGGGCGCCACATTGGCTATCCATGCCGTGGGGAAACACTACTAAGATTTGGCTTCTTTTGGAGATTGAACACTGGAGATGTTCTAGGTCATGGGTCGGCAAACTAAGGCCTGGGGGGGGGGGGCGGATGGTCCAGGAATCAGTGTGTTTTTACATGAGTAGAATGTGTCCTTTTATTTAAAATGCATCTCTGGGCTATTTGTGGGACATAAGAATTCGTTCATTTTTTTTCAAAATATAGTCCGCCCCCACAAGGTCTGAGGGACAGTGGACCGGCCCCCTGCTGAAAAAGTTTGCTGACCCCTGTTCTAGCTTTTATTTTTACAATGTTTGTCTCATTTTCAAATATGCAGAATAGAGCATAAGTGGAGGCAAACCTGATAGCACTACGCTCCTGCCTGGCAAATGATCCATTGCCCTGCATCACTGAGCATGAAAGGGAGACACATCCTCCAATCAAAGATGCACTGAGTCTTCACTATCTCTCTGCCTCAATGTCTGAAGAAGTATTCATGCACACAAAAGCTCATACCAATAACAAACTTACTTGGTCTCTAAGGTGCTACTGGAAGGAATTTTTTTATTTTGTTTCTCTGCCTCAAAAAACTGATCTGCCCATGTCTTTAGATTGGCCTAGGAGGCCCTCCTTGTACACTCAACAATGAGATAAATTAGCCCACGGAGTACAGCAGGGAGAGCTTTTTCCAGTGCTGGCCCCATGCCTTAAGACCCTCCTATGGCATTTAAGACTCACCTATTTCCAATGGCTTCTGTGTAAAAAGAAGCTGTGCATCTATTGGGGCTTTAATTGGCTGGGAGCTTCTTTTGTTTTGTTTTAATGAAAGTTTGTTAAGGCTTAGCTGGTTTTTAATGGGATTGTAGAAGCCTGCCAACCTAGCAGTTTGCAAGCACGTCAAAGTGCAAGTAGATAAATAGCGGGAAGGTAAATGGCATTTCCGTGCCAGAACCGGCTTAGTCATGGTGGCCACATGACCTGGAAGCTGTATGCCTGCTCCCTCGGCCAGTAAAGCGACATGAGCGCCACAACCCCAGAGTCATCCGTGACTGGACTTAATGGTCAGGGGTCTCCTTAGAAGCTTGATACTATATTTTTATTGCCAAGACTGGTTTGTATGTTGATGTGGTATTATTATTTTTGCAAAGCGCTTGTTGATACTGGATTTATAATCGTGTTTTAATGTCTGGAAGCAGCCTTGTGAGGGTAGTTACCAAAAAAGAATCAGCTACCTTGTAAATATTTTAAGTATGTAAATAAATTAAAATTGTGTGCATTTTCTTCATGCACAGGGGTGGGCAATTGTGTGACCTTCTCCTTACCATTAACTCCCGCTGGAAACATTTACCGGCATTTCGAGCCATTAACCAGACATTTCTTTGACAACAGGTGCAGCGGGAATGGCTGTTCAGATTTCATTGCACCTATATACTATTCACTGCAAGGAGGAATATATGGATTTGATGCTGATCTCAGGCCAAATGCTTCCCGAGGCTGTAACTGATAAAATTGCTAAGATATTAACAATACAGTCGGCTCCAGGGGAATTGTGATATTATTACTTCTTCCTCTTTTCTTTTTTGCACTCCCAGTGAGTGGTCCTTCAATATGATGGCAGTGATGCTTCTGTCAACATTCGCACAGCAAGTTAACACTTGTGGCTACCAAAAAAGAGATTAGTGGGAAGGTTGGAGGCCATGGAGGGACTGTGAGATTAGCAATAATACAGTGTTAACAAGGGGGCTGTAACTGAACCTGGCATGCTGGCACAATGCACAGAAATGGACTTCCAATTCCGACAATTATCCCAGCCCTTCCCAAACAATCTTTGTGTAGCTCGCATGGCTCCTTCCGTCTCCAATGGCATCTAAACAGGTCTTTAGCTTTGATCCAGAGAACATAAAGCCTTTTAAGAAAGTCCATCCATCTTTTATTTCTTGTGACACCAGCACATTAGATCTGCCTGTGTCCAAGAGAACTATATTAAAATGGTTGTCTTCCTGCATTTCTCACTGCCGTTCCCTGTAGAATTGTCACTTGAGGGTCAAATTGGAACTCATTCAACCAGATCTGTGGCAGTGACAGCATCCAGCCTCAGGTCAGCTCTTACTCCAGAGGTTTACAAGGCAGCTACTTAGAGTTCAAGGTACAGGCTTACGAATCTACATTGCTGGTTTGTGCTGTGCAGCGTCGCTTGCAGGATCCTTAATTCAGCTTTGCTCACATCCTTGATGCTTTATATCGTCTGTAGCAACAATAAAGCCACTTTCTTGACATATTCAAGCATTTATTTATTTTTTGATGCTAGATATATTTTTTCTTTAAAAAAGCAAACACTAAGATTGGATGCTACCAGCATGAGTTTGATCAAACTGCGGGAGGCAGTGGAGGACAGAAGTGCCTGGCGTGCTCTGGTCCATGGGGTCACGAAGAGTCGGACACGACTAAACGACTAAACAACAACAAAAAGATTGGATAGAAGGGTTGGAAAAATTTCCAGTCCTTAAGAACTGTATCATTTAAATAACATTCCTGGGGTAGAATTAGCACATCCTTTCTGCCGTTTTTCCCACCAGCTCTCTAAAGCAAAAATGCATTATCAAGTACAATGTGGGGCAGGCAGTCAAGTTATTTTTTAAGGTGGTACCAGGAGACAAGTAATGTGTTATAGTGTGGGTGATATTTGTTCTTGGCAGTTGGGAATTTGAACATGTTGCTTTAGTTTAACTTCACTTTTGTTTGTTAGTTATGTCCAGACTAGAGCCAGAAAAATATTTGCCTTGGCTCTAATGAAGTTCTTTGGGTGTTTGTGGAATTCTTATGGAACAGGGTAATCTTATGATACTTTTTTCTGAATTATAACTGAAAGCACTCATCACTCCTACACCTGAAAAAGTTGGTTTTCGTAGTGTGAAATATTAAAACTGTCCACACGCAAATGAACCTGCCAGTTTAGTTTCTGCATTGTCCTGCTTCCAAGCAGGTGTGCCTAAAGTAATGATTCAAGCAAAGATGGGACAGGTAGTAGTCTCAGGTTGGCAGGGACCTTTGTCTAAGTGCCCTGGTAGACTAGCTCCTATGCCAGTACATTTCCTGGTGGCTTATAGAGCAATGGCACTGGTGCTCCTCTGATTGGCAGCACCAGGCACCTGCCAGTTTAATTTCCCACAATGCCATTGAACGCAGCATCATATTTAAAGGAGCACAGGGCAGGCATTGGTGATGTTCCCTGCCAGGGTGCTGGGACACTAGCAACTATGCAAAAATGATGTGTGAGAATGCCAAGCTGGGTAATCTCCCCTGAGGATTAGTCATTCTGCTATGCTTCTGCATCAGTAGTGACTGACTGACTGATCCATCACACGTACTGCAAAGATGTAGTGGGTTGTCCCATCTCACTGCAAGTGAATTGGAAATAGACAAGGCACAGCAGTGGATCATAAAAACCCTATTCACATGTTACTCTCATGTGAGGCATAGCTGTGCAGTACAGCCCCTCCGCCCAAGGCAGGAGACTTCCATATATTGTTGGGTTCCAACTTCCATCAACTCAGCCAGCATGGACCATGGACAGAAAACTTCAAGCATGAGCAGCAGCCACAGAAGGACAAAGTGTAAGGTAAATTGCCCACCCCTTAAATCCTGGGCCCAAGGTTACACTAATGTAACAGGCAATGACAGACGGATGAAGGGAAGAGTCATTGTTGTGCATTTTTTCTTTTCCAAGTTCCCTCACTCCAGACAAGCCACTGAGGCATGCTTTTTTATTTATTTTCAGAGTTTCAAGGGGGTGAACCCGCAATCCCAAGAGAGTCTTATTGTAGTGATCGCAAGGGAGGTTGATGGCAGTTCTCATGGGGGCTACAGCCAGTTGCTGAATACTGCAAGCATAGTGGAGAGTGAAGAGTGAGTTATGCTGCTATGTTAGTTTCCCCTCAAAAAGTTTACATGAAATTTGCTGGAAGTGAACTACAGTACAAACTTTTATTGGTATTGATTCCCTTAGCCTGCAACCCTTTGCTCACGTCCCTGCAAGTAAGCCACACTGATAACTGTGGAACTTATTTCTGGGTTGAGATGGACAAGCCCTCTCAGGCTCTCATAAATTTCACTTGGCTTTTTCCAGGTTTCCCAGGGTGTGGGGTGGGGGTGGGGGAAAGTGCCCTACGTTCATAGATAATTTTCGTTCAGGCTTTCAAATGATTGAAAATGCCAAGCTGGAGCAGAGCCTCTCCAGGTATCTCCTTTGATTTCTGGAAGATAGACATCACTTTAGCATGGCTGACATACACTGTACAGGCTCATCAGAATCCCAGGGCTCTTTCACACTTTATTTCCTTCGGGGTCCTCAGATGAATACCATATGCTCCTGGCAATTTACTGCTCTTTACTTTCTCAAGTTAATTCCTCCACAGAGACTTCAGTCTCTCTCTCAGTCTCTTTCTCTCTCAAGGCCAGACACTGATTTCTCATAGTGTGTGCCCTTGGAACAAGACTCTCTAGAAACCTCTGCAATGAACACAGATGCAGGAAATAAATTCAACTTATGTACTATTGGAGTGTACTCTTCCACTGATTTCTAATTGCCTGCTGAGCTATCTGAAGGAGACCATCAATTCTCTTATTCACAATGCTCGGAAGTTACCTTGCTCTTATTGATCTTTAAAGCTTTGGGGTTTTGTTCTTCCAAAATGGAATCCTTTAATTTTCTACCAATGCTATACATGTCTACTCAGAAATACGCCCCACTGAGTTTATATTATTGGTTTAAGACACCACTTTAGAGGTTTCATTGCTATATAAATAAAAAAATAAAGGGCTGGCCCAAGGCATTTTGCTGCCTGACGCAAAGGACAAAGTGGCTCTGCCTTCTAGTTTCATGTACAAAAGCCTGCCAGACTGGAGTTAATAATTATTATTTTTTTTGTATTTTTTTTACCTGACCTGCACCTGAAGGTCACATGTGTTTATAGCATATAAAAACACAATTAAAACAGTAAAAACATCCCCATACATAATAAGCTCAACACAAGGCATTACATTTAAATCTTACTCCAATGCTGGTGATGGGATGACATTCTCCACCACACCAGAGGCAGCAGGCCAGACTGGAGTACTCCTGGCAGGCGATGGGGCAGCAGAGGGCAATTCGTGGGAGTTGCTCTTGAGCATCTGAGACCATCTTGGCTGTGAGACCAGGAAGGCCTGCTCCTTGCCTTTTCCACCTGGCCTAGGAGGGCAGGGCCCTGATTGACTCCAGCTGCAAAACCTGAGGCTGCTGAGCAGACTATTTGCTTGGGGTATTGTTTAGAGAGGGTTTTGAAGAAGGGAGTTGTTGCTGTTGTAGCTGTTAATTTTTAGTTTCTTTAGTTTGGATTTTAAGATTTATATGAAAATTGTTCAATTTCATTGTGGGCTTATTGTTTATTACTACTTTTGATATGTTTGTATTAATGCATTTTTCAAATATGTTGTAAACCACCTTGAGCATGGTTGTAGCTTTGGAATAAAATGATTGATCTGTCACCCAGGCAGTTGCCTTCCTCTACCTTATGGTAGGACCAGCCCTGCTCTTATACTACCTTTCAGGACAAAGCCCTCCCAAGGTGGTGGCTTTCAAATGATAAGTTCTGTGGGATTTATTCTCAGGTAAGTATCTATTGGGATGCAATCCACATTTCTCAAAAAGAAGTTAGCAAAAGAAGTTAAACAACAGAAGTTAAAATAAAAAATAAGTTGAAATATTTATAGAATGCAATTTCCACACACACCTGCCATAGAGATATACAAAATGAATAGGATCCATTTATCTACATCCTCTTACTTCCGCTTTTTCTATTTCTTGTTTTCACAGATCAGCCTGGGATTGCCTACAAATTTTCATTGAATAAAAGCAAGTAAAACTTTCTGTGGTGTTTCTCTGAAGAGCCACTTCCCAAATCAGTTTCTTCCATCCCACTAATCATTCATGCATCCATCCAGCTGCCTCTTCAACCTGTGTTCATGTGTTTCCTAATCAGTCAATCAACCTTCCTTAAAATCACCTGCTCGTGCTGCTGCCAATATTTGCTTCAAGCTAATGTAGGTAGGATCTGTATGGTGAATATCCCCCTTTGATGAAGAAAAATGGAATAGTCCTGTGAGCTAATCAACATTCTTATAACTGCTCCTAGCCACATCTTTAGCAGCATAAAGAACAGTTGTGGATTTCCCCTGCTTGCACCTATTTTAAAAACCTCAGCCAAACTCTTAAGCATTACACAGCAAATTGCTTGACATGGGTATAGTCAATTATGCTACATACATAAATGTAGGTCTAGATAGTGAATCAGGCCATGGAAGGTTCTACAGGGACCAGCTTCAGGAAATAAAATAAAGTTAGTTACTCAATGAACAGAAGAAGTCAGGATTATTCAAACACATCTAACTATCCTGACTCAGCTCTGAATTTTTTAAGCATATGGCATTCCTAGCTTTCTAGTTGTTCATGATTCCTCATCTATCAGTTAGGTTTGGAACAGAGGAGGCTGTTTTTATTGGTCTACCTCATTATTATTCACACTGAGTGGCAGAGGCTGTCCAGGGTCTCAGTAAGGAGTTTTCCCAACTCTACCTGGAGATGCTGAGGAAACCGGAACCATCTAAATGTGAGGCTAATGCTCTCTTTACCACTGACCTATGGTCTTTCTCCGTGCACCCCAGTCAGAATATCTGCTATAAAACAAGTTTTATCTTTCTGAACATTTCTTTCATTGTGATATCTGGATCAACCGATGATGCTCAAGATATAATTCTAATATAGTTTAATCATTTATTTTAAATAGCAAGTCAAGAAGGGGGGGGGGACCCTGTGATGTTGTTCAGCCAAGTTTAGTCTTGCTCAGTATCCCATCTCCATATTCTAGAGGTTGAGAAGGGCAACTGTTGTGATTAAAGGGTTCCTTCAGGAAAGATGAACAGATTGAGGGTATTTAAGTTTAGGATAAAAGGTAGTTAAGGTTGAGGGAGTGGACACACGATAGAGGTTTATAGAATAATGAATGGCATTGTCCATCCTCCCTCAGAATCCTAGAACTCATGATTACCCAATGAAATAGGCAACATTTAGGACAAGAGAGTAATTCCTCACGGAATGTGTAATTAACTTGGCTATATTTTGGAAAAAAAGGCATTGGAGAAATTTATGGATGACAGTCCTCTCAGTAGTTATTACTCATCAAAGCTATGTAGAACTTTAATGTTCAGGAGAAGTATACAAATGAAAGAAGAAGAAGCGGAAAGTTATTGCCTTCATGGCCTATTTTCTAAGCATCGGAGAGGCATTTGGCTAGCCACTGCTAGAAACAGAGTACTGGGCTGGATGAGTCTTTGGTTAGATCCAGTAGGGCTTTTCTTATATTCATCAAACATCTCAGCATTGGCTGTTTCAGGGGGGAAACCAAGAAAGTTAGGAAATATTATATGCCCAGTTATTTGCTCCCACTTTTTGACATTCGGACACCAAGGACGTAAATTCTGAATAACAGATGGGGACTCAGGGCCAGCTGTCTGCAGCAGCTATTGATGGGCCTGCCCTCCATGTAACAAAACATTTCTCTGAAATTAAATGGCCTAAAAAGTTATAAATAGAAAAGCACCATTCACTGTCAAATGCTTCCTCAGCATCAGCCTAGATAAATACGGAAAAGAGATTAACTTTACAGCAGAACTGAAGTATATTAATTAACTGTCTGACAGGGCAGAACACATCTCTAGGGTGAATATGACCAAGATGCTATTCCTAGATTGATTTTGAGATCACGTCTTGAAATCCAGTGTCTTTTAAATTAAAATACACACGCACCAAAAAAGAATCTTTACGTCTACTTCATTTAGGTGAAATAATAATAAAAGAAGAAGCATCAAACACTTCCATGCTGTATATTTCACAAAAATGCATTTTCTCTTACTAATTGTGCCCAGGAACTATTTCTCTTGTTAATGATGATACTCATTTTATTCACCATTAGAGGCCACTTTGTCATGCCAAAGTCTCATTCCTTTAATTGAAAAGTGTTCTATTAGGAGGGAGATAGAAAGATGTGGGATAGAATGGTTTAGCAAAAGATGAGTTATTTATTGTTTATCCAACTGAGGAGCTATCCAATCGCAAAAAGGTTCTCTGGGTGTCATAGGGCAGTATCCCGTGATTCATTTATTTATTACATTTATATACCATCTTTATCTTCCAAGGATCTCAAGGTAGTGTGCATGGTTCTCTTCCTGCCCATTTCATCCTCACAACAACCCTGTGAGGTAGGTTGTGCTAAGAGCTGGCGATTGGCCCAAGGACAGAGAACTTTGTTACTAAGTGGGGATTACTAACCCTGTTCTCCCAGGTCCTAGTCCAACTCTCTAACCCTTCCACCACACTGGCTCTAGGTTGTTGCATCAGTACAGGGGTTTCTGTTCGTGCAAAGGAACTTCCCTCCTCTCCCTGTGTGCACCCTCCCCAAATCTGCTCCAGAGGGTTAGGGAAAAAACCTCAGAACATATTTATGGGGGTACACAAGGGGAGCAGAAGTGGAGGGATTTCTATTGCCCAATTGGAAATCCTTTCATTGATGGAATGAGCTACTTGGAAACTGCCCATAATTTATTTTTTTAATCTTCCCCCACCTTTCCACTGCACTTTAAAATACAGTGCTAGGATTAAAAAGTTGTTTTCACGAATGAGAAAGTGGCCTGCAAATGAGAATGGGTACGCTATATAGAGAAAGTTAGGCAAGCTCATTGAGCACAGATCCGCTCATTGAGGCTTAAGACATCTCCAAGTTTGTTGGATTGGGTATGCCTCCTGCCTTTCTTCTATGATGGAACTCAAAGCGGCATTTGTAGGGTAACTCTCAAGTCTATTTCCTATCTGTGGTTCCAGATTCAGTCTCTTCTCACGCACGTTTAGGGAGCAGATTCAGGAGACCCATGAAAACATGCAGGGAGGAGAGAGGGCAGGGAAGTTACATTGCGCCTCTACAAACACTGTTACACTCAAAGCTGTTTGCATAATTATTTGTGAAGAATCTGATATATTTTCAATGTAGTACATAAAAGGTGATACATCTGGGAGGCTTAGTGGGGGTAGAAGGCCAGGCAGAATTGTCAATTTACTTCGTTTATGGTTGAATGTATGTCCTGGGACTGTGGCTTTAAAAACTCTCAGGTCCCATTGCTTCCCATTGGCTCTGTGTCTGCAACCTAACCCAGCTGGCAAAGAAGAGGAGATAATTGGAGACACTGGCCAGCTGCCGCTCATTGGGTGATAGCAATCTTTTAGCCTGGCATCTTCTTAGCTGACTCACTGAAGAAACGGCAGAAGCAGCCTGTTCAAGCCAAGGGAATTTCTGCAAGATCCACAGTCACTCTTAACTCACTCCAGATTTTACCATTCGCTTACCACATGATTATATGCAAGCCACATTGTGCTGCAGAAGCTTATTTTGGGGAACTGGGCTGCCAAGGCTCTGTTGTCCTGACACACTGAAAAGCTAACAGAATTATGGAAAGAATAAAAGGTAAAGGTAAAGGTACCCCTGACCGTTAGGTCCAGTTGCGGATGACTCTGGGGTTGCGGTGCTCATCTTGTTCTATACGCCGAGGGAGCCGGCATTTGTCTGCAGACAGCTTCCAGGTCATGTGGCCAGCATGACTAAGCTGCTTCTGGTGAAACAAGAGCAGCGCACGGAAACGCTGTTTACCTTCCTGCCGGAGCGGTACCTATTTATCTGCTTGCACTTTGACATGCTTTCGAACTGCTAGATGGGCAGGAGCTGGGACCGAACAACGGGAGCTCACCCCGTCGCGGGGATTTGAACCGCTGACCTTCTGATTGGCAAGCCCTAGGCTCAGTGGTTTAGACCACAGTGCCACCTGCGTCCCAATCATGGAAAGAATAGGAAGGTTCTATTAGCTTATTCTTGCAATGTTTTGTCTCCCTAAGACTTTCTTTTGTTGGCACAATGCTTCCAATATGTGCAGAATAGATCATTAATTTACAGAGAGAGAGAGAGAGAGAGAGAGAGAGAGAGAGAGAGAGAGAGTGTAAATTCTTGAGAGTAGTCCTGGCCAAATCCTTGTGAGTAGTCCTGGGCCTAATTTTTGCAGTTTCCAGTGATTACTAAGTAGGAAGGGCATCCTTTTATAAAATTCTGAAAATTTTGAACGTTCTGAAGAGAAGGATAGAGAGAAATATTCTCTCAAAGCTGTACACATTGGGCTGTCCAGCAAAACTGAACGGTAGGAGATTCAGGGCATCCCCAAAAAAGTATTTCTTCACAAGGGGCATCATTAATTTATGTAACTCATCACAAGAAGATGCAGAGATTGAGGTAATGCAAATTGGTGATTGTGCACAGGATGGGATGGACAAGGGAAAAGAATGTGTAAAGGGATTGCAGGAGATGATGTAGAATGAGCCATGCAGAGTGTCAGGGTTAAGCTGTAGGCAGTTGCTAAGCAGAGACCAGGAACAAGCAAGAGAATGAACTGGAGCCAATTTTATCATTGTAAAATGATAAGCAGGACAAGTCTGGAAAATCTCTGTCCAGGCACACAAGTGGTCAGATTGACAGTTCACTACTAGGGCAAGGATGGGGTAATCTATGTTCTTGGGGTTACAGCTTTCATCAGCCCTGACCATTGGCCATGCTGCACAAAAATAGCATTTAAATTGTATTCATTTCCTCCTAAAGGATGTACTTGCTATGAATTTCCCTTAAAATATACACTTGTGTATTCATTTTCCCTATTACGCATTTTTTAAAAAAATTTTTTTGCCAAGACTGGATCACAAAAATCACTAAAGTGCTTGGTACTATAACTGTATTCCAATCCAACTAAAATGACCAAAACTATGATTCTCTCTGGATTCTTATAATATTTTTGCTCAGGACGTTTTCCTCCAAGCCCACAGGGTGCAGAGTTGACTAAACAGAATGTTCCCAACCTAGATATATGTGTCTTCCATACAAGTGCAAGGAGATGTGTGTACATCATGTACATCAACAAAGTGGTGTGTGTGTGTGTGTGTGTGTGTGTGTGTGTGTGTGTCTGTATAGCAGTCTATGTTGCCGTTATTTGGTATGCATCATTAAAGGTCATAAATGCAGAATTATCCGAGCCATGCCTAGTGAGCAGGTTCAAATTGCTTTTCTGATCCGGATGCCAGACTCAAATATTAGTTTCTGCTGCCATATGGCTGAGGGGGACAAAGCAGCTTGGCTGATTCCTGGCTGAGTGGTGTCATTTATAAGATGGAGTGGTCTTTCTCCAAATGACTGTTCATGCAGATTTGGAAAACTGTTGTTTTTCCTCCTCACTCTGGGTGGTTTATTTTTAAATTTGCCCAAAGTATTCTCTTTTTAAAAGAAAAGAAAGAAAAGAAAGCAATTATTAGTATTTTCCTGGCAAATTCATTTTAACCATGGATGGACAAGGTTTTGTTTAAAAACTGCAAAACTCAGCCCATGCAGATGTACAATGGTCACAGGTCCACATTTTCAAAGTTAGCCATTCAAAGTGTACACTGCTTTTAAATTTAATTCTCCCAGCATCATTTGGGTATCTTTCTGGACGCACACCTTAGAATGGAAACAGGAACCATGCTCTGGGTGTTCAAGTGCTACTTGACAAGTCATTTAAGAAACTGCTGCTTTGCTCCATAGTATTTATAATCTGGTGTTCTACAGAGATCTACTTTTTACTTGCTCTTCAAGAACTACTGAAGCCCCTGAGTAAGGTCATTGGGAGGTTTGGGGTGATGTGTCAACAGTAAGCTGTCAGTGCATGTGAGAGAAATTGGGTATTGTGGTAGCAAACACAGTTTCAACCGAGAAAAGTAAAAATGTGCTCCCTATGAAATTCAGAAATGTCAACTGCGGCAAAATGCTACCACTAGGGAGCTGATGTGGAAAGGTGTCAATAACATCCTACACCAGGTGCGGGGAACTTTTGGCTTGCTGGATACTGCTGAACTACAAGTCCCATCAACAGTAGCAAATATGGTCAATGGCAAGTGCTGATGGGAGCTGTAGTTAGCCAAAGGTTCCCCACAAGTGTTATCCCCCCCCCCCCGGTAAAATAAAAATGTCTGTCCGGCACAACACTTTGAATCCTGAAGGAATCAAAGGAAGAATGTGAAATCATGGTGAGTAGGGGAAATGCGCAAGAACACAAACACCGTTCAGTAGGGAAACTGGAACTAATGGCTCCCAGGCCAAAGTACCCAGTCTGAAGAAAGATGTCAGCACAGCATGTTATGGAATATGGTTTTGTTTAAACTTGTAACATACCATGAAATGCAGTGCACATGAGAGCACTGAATGAATCCCCCTGAGATTTTTTTTTAACCACTTATTTAGATGTCTTGGGCATAATTAAGTATGATGTTAGTAGATCTTATGGGGTCAAGTTCAGCTTAAATGTGGTCTCCTCTGCAATATTTTGTAAACTTCCATATGCAAACCACCCAAGCTAATAGCTAACAAAAACAGAAACAAAACAAAAATGAAATAAAGAAAACAGAAGCATTAAAAAAACAAAACCCGCCACACATAGATTAAAATTTGCTAAGGGCACTGATTGTGGGGAAGGAGAGTAAATTTTGTGCAGGTGCTCCTTGGCCATCTCTGTTGTATAGAATTTCACTTCTGCCAGCTTTCTGGAATAGAGAACAAATGCAAGTCTGAGTAAAAAAAAAATAGATGTTCCTCATCAGTGGAGCTGCTTGTTACCAGGGAGAAGAGCTGTAGATAAATGGCACCGCATCTGCCTTGTACACAGATGGTCCCAGGTTCAATCCCCAGTATCTCCAGCTAGGGCTGGTCATGCCTCCTGTCTGAAACCCTGGAGATCCACTTCTGGTCAGTACAGGCCAGGCTTGGTGAACAAGATCTCACTCCACCCTGGAGCTGTAAGCTTCCCCCCACACACACACACTGTGGGCCACCTTGATAGGTAGGTGAGAAAGCCCACCTGCGAATCACCTGATTATTTGCCTGAGGTAACCCTATTTCAAAGGAAAGAATTGAGAGCATTTCCTTTATGCCTTTGCAGCCAGGCTGCAATGGCAAACCCAAGCTAGACTGCAAAGGAAGAGCCCCGAGGAATGTGGTGTTTGTAGCCCCCACTGCTCAGTTAATTGGGGCGGGCTGCAAACCCCATATTGGCAGGGATCAGTTCCACGTGGGCGATCCAGTCAATAACTCCTGAGTGTAACCCATCCTAGTAGGCAAATCTCTTTTAAAAAGAACTTTCAAAGGCAGATTGTTCGTGGCATCGCAACGGGGGGAACTATCAAAAGGCAAAACTCAGAAGGGTAGCCCCAAACATTTTGTTGTACCTAATATAGATCTTTGGATCCCTGCCTAAGAGTTTAACTCTATATTTAAATCCCACTTATCTCCAGGGGGTTTAAATGCAACCAGCATTCCCTGGACTGAGGTCAATATATATCCTGTATAAACCTTTCCCAAACTACATTTATAGATGGAGTCCAGTCTGTAGGTCAGTGATAGAGTATCGGCTTTGCATGCAGAAGGTCTCTTGTAGGATGGGATGTGACCCCTCCCCCCGAGAGCCTCTGTCATTCATTACAAACAATACTGATCTAGATGGTCCAATAGCCTGACTCAGTATCCAGTAAGGCAGTTTCCGATGTCCCTAATCCATCTGATTATTACTAAGTCCCACTGAAGTTAGTGGAAGAGATTAATAGCAACTAGCTTAAATTCCACTGGTTTCAGTGGGACACAGTCTGCAATCCTTTATACTCTTCCCTGGGAGTAAGTCCCTGGGGACTGAGTAGACCCTTAAAGGAGAATAAAGCTGGTCACTGAGTTGGCTCAGAGCTCCTGAAATGAAGCAGTGAGAGACGACACGAAAAGCAGACACATAATGTAGCCGATTATACATAATTAGTGAGGGAGACTTGCTTCTCTTTACCATCTTTTAACCTACCGGCTAAACTTTTTCTGAAAACCAAAACAAGCATATTTACATCTGCAATGTGACATTAAAACACAGGATCATGTTAGCAACTGAGATTGCTCGAAAATGCCAAAGCTGATGCCTCAGCATTAAAGCCTGTGAGTCACAGACTGCTTCTCTCAAGCTAGAACCCATCCTTCCACAGACGCCTAAATTTCACAAACCTCACAGATTCTGCGGCAAGACTGGAATTTCATCTTCAGTTTGTGGGAGTGGGGGGTGGGGGTGGGGATTGCCTCTGCCTTCTGAGGTTCTCAATGCTGGCTAGATAAAGTCCTTTGATTTGTGAACTGTTTGCAGAAAAGAATCTGCATCACGTGGTTATTTGTGGCTTGGCGCTCTCACTCGCTCTCTAGTTTCAAATACCAATATTCCTTCACTAACTTATAAATTCAAGGGTTTTATTCCCGGCATTTAGATACTGCAACTGGCTCTAGGTGCTCTAAAACAACAAAGACGTGTCAGCTGCACAAGGTATATGACCATCTTGCTGTTGCAGTTTGAATCAGTGTGTAGAGTCAAAGGGTAGGAATATGAGAGGCAGTAAGTGGTCTAGAAGCCGCTAATACAGCAGTGTGATTGAACACAGGAAACTGCCTTATCATACCCCATTGGTCTATCTAGCTCAGCATTGCCTATACTGATCAGCAGATCTTCAGGGTTTCAGAGATTTTAGGGTTTCCCAGCTCTACCTGAATAAGCTGGGGGTAGAAAATGGCACTTTCTGCAAGCAAGGCAGACTCCCTTCCACTGAGCTACAGCCCTTCCCTAAAGTACAATATACAATGCAGAATAGGAGTTGAGACTAAAGTAGCCATTTGTATGATAGTGACATAACACCTTTGGGGAAGAACTGTATTCTGACAGTCCTGTCACCATGCAGCACCCCAGCTCAACACTGTATTGTTTTTGACACCTGCTAAAAACTGTGCTTGTTTAGGCAAAACTTCTCAGGCATGTAATTTTATTGTGTATCTTTTTTATTAAAAAAAAACCTGCTGGTTTTTATTTATATTCTCACAAATCTTACTTCAATTTGTTCTTAATGCTTGATTTTTATCAGTATTTTTTAAATGAGCATTTTATATTGTTTTAGGTTTCATATTGCTAATATTGTTTTAGGTAAGCATGGCTGCCTGGCTGGCTGGGGCTGGCACCACTAAGGTGGTGAAGAGAACACTGCAACATTTTGTTGTAGGTCTAGGTCCAGCCTGAGTACGTACACACACACCCACACACCCACACACCCACACACACCCTTGAAATCTATCTGTGGATAATATTATTATTTATGAAAATTTCTATACCACCCTTCAAACAAAAATCACAGGGCAGTTGTTTACATTTTGCCTTGCTGGATGGAGCTTATGGGAATTGTATTTTGACAATAATTAACAAGCCCCATGTTGGCTCCCCATGCTGTAGGATCAGAGATATCTTCTCTTGCTTGTGGACTTCCTAAGGGCCTCTGATTGGTCACTGCAGGAAACAGAATACTGCACTAGATAGGCCTTCAGTCTGATCCATCGGGGCTCCTTCTATCCTCCTATGGCACCATGTTCATCAGCTTAATATCAGAGGTGGCTAATCTGTGGTCCTCCAACTCTCATCAGCCCCAGCTGACAGGCATGGTGGGAGCTGTCAATCAGTAGCATCAGGCTAGCCAATCCTGCTCTATATTTAGACCCTCAAATCAACACATATAGCTTTGAAAGGGGCTACAAATTTACTTTTCTTTTTCTGCAGGAATCTGAATGAGAACAGGAAATATGAGGAAATATTCCTCTGGCTTATAATGAAAGCAGAATGATGATGCCTAATCTATAGAAACACAATGTTGGATGCATACAATACAATATTTGGGCATCCCACAGATGTCTGCAGTTGTTTCAATTAAAAAAATATTTTAAACCCCCAGACCACCACATTGCAATAATTTAAAGATAAAAGTGGAAACAATAGAAGATCTTCCTGATACATTTCTTTTTTTGGAAGGAGAGCAACACCCTTGACATCACAGGAAGCAAGGAAACAGATCATTAACACTGAGAATCCTGTACAGGGGATTTTCAGCAAGTAAAGTAAATGAACATTTCAAAAGAAAATAGGTGAAGCAACTTCTGGAGGAAGGGCAGGATATAAATTTAATAAATAAATAAATAAATACAACTGCAAGGCTGTATAGTTTGGAGCAGGGGAAGAGGAATGTGGTGGAATTCTTTGAGGAACAAAGTAAAAACCCCAAGTTACGGTAGTGAGAGAGCTTTCTATGTTTTCTTTTTTTAAAAAAATAATTAAATAACAATGATCCCAGGATGTTTCCTCCTGTGTGTTCTTTGTAGTCCATGATACTAGCGAAAAATTTTAGGTTAAATATTAGAAATTGGGGAAGAGGAGGTTGAGGGGCAGGGCATCATCTATGCAGCATGTAGGTTGAGGCTGAGGATGCAGAAGGGTAGATAGGAACTGGTTTGTATATGTGAGTTTAACACTTGCTATATTGCATGTTGCCAGCTTCCCCACCCCCTCCATCTGGGTCCCTTTTCTTCTGGTTACTCACCCGAACCTCCTCATAAGTTAAAAGCATGACTGAGACAGTGGGCCAGCACACATGGTACACATGCCTGCACCCCTGTATATTTGGTGTGGGTGAGTGTACATACACACTGATGCATGAGTGTGGAACTCCATGTGTCCTCAGCTGATCAGAACTTTAATATGGAAGTGCTCTATCTATAACTGTTGATACATATTTATGTCGCTTTTCTCTGCTCATCAGAGAAGTGGCTGGTAGGGTGTGTGGTGCTCGTCTCTTGACTATGACCTCTCTTTGCCTCTGACTGGCAGCAGCCATCCAGGGTCTCAGGCAGAAGTCTATCCCATCCCTTGCAACCTGAGATCCCTTTTCACTGTTAGTACCAAAGACTGATGAGGAACTTTCACATACAAACTGCATGCTCTAACACTGAAGAATGGTTTTCTACCCACAACCATACAAGCATGGAAGGATCATACCTGCAGTATTTCTTATTTTCAAACCTTTTCCTCATTCACCCTCCTCAAATATGCCCCCCCCCCCCCGCTTGCCAACCAAGGTTGATCATCAGCAAGTAATATGAAGGCCTAGTCTTGAAGGATAATACATTCAAAAATATCTTAGCTGTTTAGGCCTCAGCTTAATATCACATGTTCCATATAAGTACATATTTAATATTCTTAACAAGAAACCAAGACTGTCAAATACATTACTTAATCGGGACAATTTAATAAATTAATAGGCAATTTAAGGAAAATAACAAACCCTCTCAGGTGGCAGATTAATTATGGACTTACATTTCGCTGATCAAGAATAATTGGATTATGAATGTGGGCCAGAAGTAAGAGATCTATTTTCAGGGTCAATGGGTTTATCTTTCCACAAATGAGAATAATGTCTTTTGGTATGCATATCTAAGGCCATGTGGTCCAGAAGTCAGAGGAGCAGTTCAGCTGGTTGCTTTGGAAGAATCTTCATAGGGTAACTATCTCTCCCAACATTCATGTGGATAGTGAGTCTTCTGAAAGAAACACAAAAATTGTGTTACCAAATCCTAAGAACTGCTAAAAATTTAATAAGCAATGTAACATGTAACGACTCTTTGTCACAATATTAGACTTCTATCATGTGCCTAATGGCCTTGCCTTCAATGCATATCCAAGTATTCAGCTTCCTGTGCCAACAAATTCTCACCAAATGGCATTATGCAAATATATTTCTAGTCTTCCAAAGAAAACGGTGGTTATTATTCATTTGTATACAGTGACCCATTTAAAGTTGCACATAGTAAATTTAAATTGCCTATTGGCTAGCACTGAACTAAGCCTAATGATCCTACTGGGGCCAAAAACAAACAATAACAACAACCCCAACACCATCATTTGCAACCCTAAGTTCTAGCAGGGATTCCTAGATTTCAACACGGTCACCATGTTGTCAACAGTTACTCTCTCAATAGCTAAAGAAACAAAGAACCATCATTCTAGCTGTAAAAGTTTTCATTAAACAGTAAAATTAGCTGAAAATGGCTGACAGGATTATGACCTGCTATTGACTTGGGTTTTTACTCCCCACACTCTGATTGCTGATATTTCTGGTGTCACTTGTTAAGCCCCTCCAAAATCCTGTCAAGCCCTTAATGTGAGCAAACTGAAGTATTTTGGAAGAAAGTTGGAGATTCTGTTACTTCAGCTACTCTGCTACTGAGCTGAACTTCCACTATGTTTTCTCTTGCCTTTCGTGATCAATGTAGGGTACCTTGACACAGAAGGCCTTAAAGGATGAGAAGCCTGCAGCCCTTAGTGTTGTGGGCGGTGGGGGAGGGGATTAAAAAATGCAATCCTCCTGTCAGACTGGGAATATCCCCTCAGTCACGCAGTTTAGGATATGCCACCATTCTTCAGCAGAGTTTCTTTTCTTTCAGCAAAGTAAGCGGCTCACGTATATGTCAAGCAAAGCTTTAATAATAAAGAAAAACTGTAACACAATAACATACACTCTGAGAGAAACTAAAACAACATCCTGAGGCAATAATGAGGCAAGAAGCAAGAATGACAGTTGGCCTCTGAACACACGAAGGGAGGGGCCAATTCCGGAGCACAATTCAAAAGCCCCGCCCACCAGGTGCCAGACATTCTACTATTCAAATGAAGTCTCAGTGGTTTTCTAACACTTAGGAGATCTTGGGGGGGGGGCACTGAGGAATTTTCTCTTCCCTCCTATCTTGGGAACCCTGGAGAGCAGAAGGCAAGGGATTTGATCTGAGTGAATGGAAGGATAGTCTCTCCTGCTGTACAGCAGGGGTGGGGAATCAGTTTCAGCCGAAGTGTCACATTTTCATGTGGGCATCTTTCTGAAGGGGTTGCATAACAGTGGCCCAGTGCAAAAGTGGGCGGAACAATGGATCTTTGTACAGTAGTTTTTATTCCAGTCTTTATTTATTATTCTACACTTACACGCACAAACTTCCATCCTCTTTCCAGATAAGCAAGAGACGTTATCAGAGTCTAAGGACACATACCAGCCAAACAAATGCACTCCAGCATGGTGCTACCTCTGGGCGTGGGTTGGGGTGAGTCCATATAGAGAGGTTCTGAGGTTCTCTACATCTACTGTACAGGAAAACACCCTAGGCTTCGCAGAGTATATGGGAGCAGAGCAGGGCTGTCTGTGAAACTGTGGGGAGAGGGAGGCGTTGGGTGAATTGAACCTCCTTGCCCTTGCTGACTCAACCGGAGTGGGTGAGGACAATCCTTGGAAGGTTTGCCTAGTGCTGAAGTTGCCCATCATCAGACCCACTGAAATATACTCGGAGTCAAGAGTGGAATCATGCTCTTTTTTCAGCTCATAGTGGCGAGGAGGAATGGAAGTTCCCCCTGAATGTCTGCCTTATATACATTAATTACACAATGGGCTCCACGTGATTGGCTAATTCCGGATTCTCCTGTAGGCCAATCAAGTTGCGGATTCCCTTCCACCTGGAGCTGAATTGGGTGGCTCCTGTGGACCAATCAGACTGCTGCATTCTGAATCCTATTCTAGGACCAATCAGACTGCTGCCTTTTGGATCCTATTCAACTCAGTACATAGCACCCACCTGGTTGCAGTCTTCCCCATTGGGGCAGACTTTGCTCTTTCAGTATTGCTCTGTGCAAGGCCAAAATTTGCACCTGCCTCTTCTTACCTCCCATTCCCCTCAGTTCACTATGTCATCATTGCAATGCCCTGTGGCGCCCCCTAGGCCCGACACGCAGTGTGACGGAACCAGTTGTGCTGCTCTAAATCCGCCTCTGTCCCTATTATGGTGATATGTATTTCTATTTAAATTTTAATACGGACTTCTAAATTTGTGCCTATACACCTATAAATTTCATGCTAACCTGTATGCTGTTTTGTTGGCAATCTGTTTCCTTATCTTTTCCTTTTGCAAATGCATAAATGCTTCAACCTTAAAAATGAAAATACCAAATCTTAATAGTGTCTCAGTTGCCTTGCTAGGACATCACCTCCTGGTGAACCTACTGCAAAAAAAGATGACTGCAAAAAAGATTTCCTGTATTAAGGGGGGGGGGCATCTCTCTACCACTAGCACTCATATGTGCTTTGAGATATGCAAAAATCTAATAAAAAAAACACAGAGAAGCTGCAAGTCAATGGTTAGGGTTGCTGTGGAGAACAAATATGAGGCAGGCTGTGGAGCTACTATGTACATCCTTGTATTTCAAAGATACTAAGTGACTCTGATTTTAGAAGGGGCTTAGGCCTATGCAAGCAGTTGGGGGCCTATGGCTCTTTCATTCATTGGAATCTAGGTATTGTTTACTAAGGGCTGGTACAAATGGTGCACTGTTGCAAGGCCATGTGTCCTACTTTATAAGGGGCAGAACTCTATTTAAAGAGTTCTGGTGAAAGGATGAACAAACATGTCATTTGGGTTTCTAATCTTTCCACTCTCAAATTCAGTTTGCCACATTTCTGCAACAATTTGCAGTTTAATTTTTTTTTTTAATCCTCAAAAAACGGTTCAGTACATAAGTGCAGTTTCCCCCCGGGACTCACATTTTTGTGTGCAGTTTTGGCAAATAGAGATTTACTTAATTATTTTGCAAATGATTGTTGCTAACATAGTTCATTTTTGTATCTTATTTTTTAAAATAACGATCATTGCATTTTTACGCACACTTTCCCCTAACGTATGAATTTTAGTTCACACTACTTGGTTGGGAAACCGCATTGCAAAATCCAGAGAAGTTTGGATTTCAAAGGGTAGCTGGGTTTCAATTTGCTCGTGCTCAGTTTGAGAGGTGCGAATTATGTCATTTCTCGGTAAAATGCAAACAGAATTGAATTTCTGCCCCCTCCCTGTGAGAGCACAGCCCTCTATTTGAAGGCATTTTCTGTTTGAAAGGTAGTTTAGTCCAAGCCTGGTATAAAGATAAGCATCCGTAAGAAGGGAGGACAGGAGTGGCCTTGAAGCTGCCCATCAACCATTAGCCCCTTGATAGCAGACTGAGCAGACAACCAGGTCTCTTGGTCACAGCCTTCAGAACTTCGTAACTTCTTTTTTAATTTTTTTAAAAGCACATTCTCATTGCAACCAACCCCTTCTCCCCATATTAATAAAGTTACATATTAGTACAAGATAATTAGTTGGGGTGGGGAAGTTTAGTGCGCTTGATGTTTTATATATTTTCCCCACTTAGTCATTCCACAAATCCAGTAATTCTCAGTGGATCTGTCAGTGACTCACTGGGGATTTAAACGGGCTTTTGACCATAAAAAGACTGCTCAGATTTCTCATGAGAGATCACAAAGACTGTCAAAAGTCACTGGCTTTATTCAGTTTCCACATGCTCATTCAAGTCCACCTCCTGTGCTGGAAAGTTAATACATGAAGTGGGATTTTTTAATATTTTTTTTAGTATAGTTGCTTTTCAAATCATGTTTGTCAAGGATTCCCTTTGATCTAAGGGTTGTGTGAGCAAACAATGTGGTTTTGTGACTAATTTTTTTTCCTTTTCCTTTTTAAATGCTACATAAATAAATCCCTTGCCAATCCAGCTGGATGTGAATCCTTAGTATTCCAGGCTGTACATTGAGATACATTTTACTGTGTGATCCTGTGCTTGTGTAGTCTGAAGCAAACCCCTTTGAATCTGATGGTACTACTTTTAAATGTGCTTCAGGCTCTAGTTATTATTATTATTATTATTATTATTATTATCAGTGCTTTTTTCTGGGGGGATGCAGGGGTACGTATACCCCTAAACATTTTGTGAATCTAAGCTTGGCCTCATTGAGGGGCAGTATTTCAAAATGAGTAGTTCTCGAAGCTACCAGCATGAGTTTGAACAAACTGCGGGAGGCAGTGGAAGACAGGAGTGCCTGGTGTGCTCTGGTCCATGGGGTCACGAAGAGTCGGACACGACTAAATGACTAAACAACAACAACAACAGGAAAATGAGAGTACCCCTAATTTATTTTTTTTAAAGCACTGATGATGATGATGATTAGGAACCGGGCAGTGGCGCCCACCCTGTGGAACACCTCCCATCAGATGTCAAGGAGAAAGTAACTGGAGGTGGAAAGAGCAGTGAAAATAATAATAATAATAATAATAATAATAATAATAATTTATTATTTATACCCCGCCCTTTTGGTGTATGGAAAGGGGCCGTGGTTGGTGGGGTTGGAGAACAATGAGAGCAGGGTCAGCAGCCCCTTGTGTTTGTTTGTTTGTGTGTGTTTGTGTGTGTGTGCTCAAGCACTTTGCAAATGAATTACCATACCATATCAGTTTTCCTTCCATATTAACCTCAATTTATGAACATAGACTGGTAGGATTTTTCTAAAATACCATATTGGCCTCACACTGATATGGATATGGATGCCTATCACTTTGAAAGTTTATTTAATTACTACCTTGAATGTTAGAGATTAACCCTCTGTCATTTAAGCCACATCAATTATATAAGACTGGTGTGAGTTTTTGTTTCTTTTTGCTTAAAGAAAACACTGAATTCATTTTCCCGTAAAGAATCAGAACCATTTGGAAGCTTGTTTCAATTCAGCCCCTTCCTCGGAAGACTCTTTAACACGCAGCAGAAAAAAAGAGCTATTTAATTTCACACTCAGCTAATCCTTTAATTATTTTCTTCCGCACAGAATGGAAAAGTCTATTAGGTCCATAATAAAATAAAAAATAAGTTAGAGAGACTGTTATCTTGAACCTTGGACTGTCTTCCATTTTCTCTCTCTCCCCCTGAGAACATAACCAGATATCAGTGTTGATAGTTAGTGATAAATTACCCTTTGGGGGGTTATTCTGCCACTCTCACATCACATTGCAGTGGAAATGAATCACCTTTTAAAACCACTCATTCATTCAACAGATTTTGCTTCTCAGATTCTGATATGAAAATGGTACTCACACAGGGATATTATGCAGCCTTGATTTAATTAAGAGTTGCAACATATAAATGACTTTTATACCACAGTAAAAGCGGGAAAAGACCTACAACACAATTGTTCATCCTCCAAGTGGAGGGTGTGTTTCTCTGTCCCTGGACACAAACGCCACTGCAGAGAAATTAATCACACATTTCTGAAAGACAAAAAACAAAAGACAAGAAACTGACCTGTTGCTTCCTGTGTTCTTGGAATGGTAATATTGAAACCCTCTTCAGTACCAGGAAAAAGGAAAAAAAGGAGAGATTATGGATGTGCCCATCTATTGCAAGATGGCTCATGATGGATAGCTCAGTCAGTAGAGCATGAGACTCTTAATTATCAGGGCCATGTCTTCAAGTGCAAGAAAGTAGAGTCCGATTAAACAACAGGAAAAGCTTTCTGAGTGTAGAAGCTCTTTGACTCCCTTGGAAGGTGGTGGACCCTCCTTCCTTTGGAGATTTTGAAGCAGAGGTTAGACAACCATCTATTACGGATGATTTAGTTGACATTCCTGCATTGCAGGAGGCTGGACAACATGAGCCTTGGGGACTCATAATGCTATGATTCTGTTAGTCCTCTCTTTAAAGGGATGTCTGGTTTAAAGAGATCAGTGGTGAGAACCTGGACGATGGACTGAGCAAGCAA